CAACCTAAAGTAAAAAAATATCTGATTTTGGGATAAATTTCGAAATTTTAGTTTTCAGCCTTGGAAGTTAGATTTATTTACTATAATTTATTTGAAATAATACACACGAATTCTTAAGTTTATTTTCGTTTCATTCGGTGTCGATTACCGGGGAATGAGCCTAATGTATTTCCGTTTTATTAATAAAATGCTTTTTTGTGTTTGTAGCAATGCCGCCGTCTATGAATCGGATAAGCTTTAGCAGTGTAGCTCCTCAGTTGCCGGCAACATCTGTACCGCCATCGACTACGTCTGATCACCAACAAATATCTCACTCAACCATGGCGGCAGCTGGCTCCACTCCTGTCGGCGTTTATAATCCTGGGCCTCAACTCACCCAAGTTGGTCATATTCAACTAAGACAGTCTTTGCCGCCCATTTCACAATTTGGTCCCTTGCTACCTAATGGACCGGCAAATCAAATAAGTGATGCCATCAACGGTAAGTTTTTCTTATAAATAGATGCAAGTTTTAAAAACATCACGATGTGTAGTTTTACCACCAGATCAACTGCAGCAGCAACTTCCTCATCATCCCTGCCCAGAACAATTTGGTCCCCTACCAAATGCAACGCAACAGCCACCACAAAATGCGTTTATGACACCGCTACCGACAGTTGGAATGGCACCACGCTTGCTGCCACTCAATCATGGCATGCATAACCCGGCAAATGGTGGCGATCAATACAGTCAATTACAAAATCAAATGGCAGCAATATCTCTCACAGGTGGAGTTAATCAGCCGGTAACACAAAATTTCCTTGTACAAAATGATCCAAAATATAACATTCCAATTTACTAGCAGCAACGGTAAGACGATGGCTGGTGTCGAATATACGTCATAGCAAATTTTCTACTCTAATATTTTTGTTAAAAAATTTATGTCTACATTCATACATACACTTGTGATCAGTTAATTAAGCCAGCAGCGTTTTAATAAATTTTGACTATTTTTCATTTGTTTATTTAATGTTTATTATTTTTTTCATAAAAGCCTAGCTCATTACTTTGTGCAACAATTATACAACATCTGCAAAGTTTCATCTAAATTTTCAACTTTTTCATCAGAATTCTGAGATTATGCAAAAGAAGAACAGCCGTTCACAAGTGTATTTACACTGGCGGCCAAAACTGATTGAATGGTGTTTTGTTTTTTCAAGCTAAACTCAAAAATATGGTTCATGCTTTAATCAAAAACATATAAATGAAACTTTCAAACCTTATTCAGAAAAATTCAAAAAATTTTCATAAAAAATTTGGTCTTTTTAATAAGAACTTTATAAAATTTGCACAATAAGAAATCTAAGTAAAATAAGGCAAGTTTTAAGTGGCTACAAAATCGTACATTGCCTCAAATTTGCTCTTTTTCCATATAAATATGAATTTCTTGTGGAAGAAAATGCGCGAAAAGGATAAAAAAAATAAAGCCACTTATTATAAATTGCTCTTTTTATATAAAAAAAAAAACCGCAAAAGCCCTCATAAAAAATATTAAAAATCTTCGCGATTTTTAGCAGCTTAAAACTCACAAAAATGTTATAAATTCTGATTAAAAAGCTCAAAATTTTGATGAAAATTATTTGAATTTTTCTAAATTCTGTACAAAGTTTGAAAGTTTGATTTATATGGTTTTGGTTAAAGTATGACTATTTTTATTAAAAAAAAAATAACAAAAAAGTTTAACCAGTTTTGACCGCCAAAGTATATTTTAACAACAAGACAAATGTCTACAGCTATTCGGCATAATAAAACAGTTGCGCTAAGTTTAGTATTGCATTGCCTTGGTTAATTGTGGGTAATTAACGCTCTGTTTTTCGCGAAAATGTATTTTTACTTCCCACATTCTTGCGTATTTTTGTTAGTTGCGAGGAGCGAATAATGTAAGGTATTTTATTTGCTACTATTACTATTAAGTTGTTTTAAATTATGGACGAATGTATTGTTTGGTTACTTGAGCTGGTTGAACAAGCGATAAAGGGGAAGAGATGGTAGAAGAAATGCTTATGCAAACGTGCGCATTCTCTGCTCTGTATTCATTAAAATGATCATGAATGTGTATGGAGGTGAATATTATTAAATACTAGGAGTACTCTCGAAGTCTTACAAAGCCCTTGCACGGTGCACGGATTGTACGATTTACAAAGCTGTCCCAAAGGAAAACCGATTTTTACCATGAAATCCGTCCACCGTGAAAGGGCTTTGCAAGACTATTGTCTAAGAGATGACACTAAAATGTTTGTTAACCATACAACAAAATGAACTACGTTACTTAATGTACATATACACTGGTGACCCGATAATTGAAAACAATTCGTCTTTACATGTTTAGACAATTGATTTTTTATTTATTAGCTTTAATTTATTTTTTTACAAAAATATAATTAATGGTACAACGAAACCCATATATGTAACTCAAAAAAATCGCCAAATTTTAAAGAAATGGCCATTAAAACTTCAAATAT